ACGAAAAATGTATATATTAAAAAAAAAAAGCCTTTACAGAAAATATAACTACACTTTAAACAGGAAATACAAAAGAACGCATTACTTAATTTCAATCAATCCCCATGGCTCCTATAAAATCTGGAATTCTGTCAACAATTAACATTAATGCATTTATTCAAATCTCTGGCTGTACCAAATCTATCATACAGTTTAGAAATTTGAAACCATAAAAGTACATTTTTTAATAACTTGGAGGCTGTTGGAAGATTAGCAATCAAATTTCTCTTAAACATATAAAGTAAAGCAAAAAGTACCTGCATCCATGTTTAAAATTGATGAAATATCTACCATCACATCCAAGATGTGTTTTTCAATAATTTTCCCTAACTCAAATATTTAATTTTACTACAGATAACCACTTTATCATCGAAGTAATGAAAACTTAGGGGTCGTCCATAAATTAAGTCATGCAATTTTTGTCTGTTTTTGACTCACCCCCCCCCCCCCCACACACACACACATTCTTTGTCCCAACATTGTAACAAGCTTTTTCCAAAGTTATCACATAAACACTAACCCCGCCTTCCCTTAAAGTGTGACGCAATTTATAGACTACCCCTTACAACCGACTGGAGCTAAGCCACGTCAAGTGTTTGTAGAAGGAAGAAAAAAAACCTTGTCAAACGTTTTAATGATGACGTTAAAGGCAATTGGAGAAAGTGTTCCAAATAAAATCTAAATTAGACTTTAGGCTAATAGTATAGACTTTAATATAAAAGTATAGACTTTAATATAATAGTATAGACTTATAATATAATAGTGTAGACTTATAATATAATAGTATAGACTTTAATATAATGTAATAGTCCAGGCGCGGATCTAGGGCATAGCCGTTGTGGCTAAGGCTACACCTTAAAATAATCAACGAAATAAAAAACAATATAATACTCCAACATATTTTTAAAATAAAAATAATATAAATATATTTATATTATTTTTACTATATATAGTTAAGATAAGTTTATTTTTATTTGCTGTGTAAATTCCGCTTTAAAAGTGACTTAAAACTAATACTTAAACTAAAAAAAAAAACGGAATTAAAAAAAAGATCAGTCATTGCATTTCGGTTTGTGGCTGAGCCACAAACGAGCTGATTTTACGGCATAAGCTTACTAAACTATTGTTTTTTTTTATAGTAATATATTTTCATTAAAAAGTCGTATATCTAGTTTACTTATATACAACTATTTCTGTGGTTATTGTTTTAAAATTCGATAAACATTATAATTTTATTATACAGGTTAATACTATAAACATTAGTTTTGTCACAGAGCTATATAAACAGTTTTATTGTTTGTTTTTTTATAAATGTAAATAATTAAAATATTAGATTTTTATTTCTTCAAAAACAATGTTAATCTTCAAATTGAAGCTTTAATTAAAGAGGATCTTATAAGTTGATTTTATTGTTAATTAGAATTAAGTATAATACAATATTGGATACTATTATATAAGAGAGTCCTTAAGAAAGAGTTGAAGGAAATATTTTCGAACTACTTAATTTTGGTATTTATGCAGGTGACACTATCTTATAAGATCATTTAATATCAGCCCCTAAAAATATTAGATTATTTCTTAAACCACACAAAATCAACTTATGGAGTGTTGTTGTGAGGCTTTTGAGAAGATTCTTATTTATGAAATCAATAATAGTAAATACTATTCAATTTTAACTGAGAAAGCATTTGATTGTGCTAATCTTAAACAGTAGTCTATCGTTATAAGATATATAAGCAATAACTATAATACTCGTAAAGATTTCTTAAGGTTTTTTGACTGTCCTTAATTATTTAAATGTACCCTTAGTCGAAAATTACAGGCATGCTTAAATAATTATCTTTCTGTTGATAAAGTAAAGCTAACCAATGTCTGTTTTACTTGTTGTGTTTAAAAACAGAAAAGTCTAGGAATTTTTTTTTAGCTAAACCCAGCCGGCATTATTACGTTGTTTCAACGTTGAAATTCGGTTGAAGCGTTGTTTCAACGTTGTTCAACTATGTCACAACGTTAAATCAACGTTACCGTTTAAACGTTGATTATTTAACGTTATTTCAACGTTAAATCAACGTAACAGTTTAAACGTTGATTATTTAACGTTATTTTAACGTCATTATTTCAATCATTGTTGACAAAAAATACGATATAAAATTTATGCGCGCGCAGAAATGGAAGTAAAATCGTAAACATTATTTCAACGGTTAAAGTTATAGAGATTTATAATGGAAAAAAAAATGTAAATACTGAACTTATATCATATAAAATTTTCAAGAGATCGAAAACATGTTCAGACGATTTTACTGAAAGAACATTATCGTTTAAAAATCGATATTTTTCGTTTAACTTGGGCTACAATGCTCAAAGACTGATATTATTAAATGTAAATATAATACAGCTTTTTCAAAAAATGATCCATTAAATTATGTTGAATTTAATGCTAAGCGTTGTTTTTTAATAGAGAATCAAGAATTAAAAAAGAAAATTGATAACTTTAAAAAAGAACTTCAGCACGAAATAAAAAAATAAAGATTTATTTGAAAAATTAACTTCAACCACATCAGTTATTACTATGAAAACAGACAAACTTGTATATAAACATAATCCAAACAAATCGTGTTATTGCAATTTACTTGTATACAAACATTTATTTTAAAAATAATAGATCTTGCGACTTTTATACTGGCCTTACATCTGTCAATGTGTTTCATCAGTTAGTGCAGTATCACCATTAATCAAAAGAGATAAAGTGATACTAAAAAAACATTTACTTCTGTTTTTTGAAATTTAAAAAAATCCTAACTAACTACTACTTGGACCAAAATAAATGTAATGCAGCAAAGATAAATTTTTAATGATGCTAATACTTGGATTATTGACAGCTGATTTTGCTGACAGGTTGAATATATTTTTAGGATTAAGGAATGCAATATTTTCTTCATTGTTGAAAGCTTCTAGCTCACTTTTAAACCACATGGTTTTTGTTCCAAGTAAAGATGTTATAAGACAGGTAATGCAAAACAGATTTTAGAAATTAAATTATTCAGACCAACACTAAATTTCAGATATAACAGAATTTATTATGGAAACACCTTAAAATTTTGACATACAGAAACTAACAGGGAATGAATACAAACATTACAACAATATAAAAACATTAGTACCCGTAGCTCCAAATTCATCAATAATTTCTTTAAAAAATTTCTAAAGCTTACAGAAGCTAAATTTTGGATAAAAAAAATTACATATCACAACAACTATTTAGATTGTATTACAAAATACTCTTGTATAATGTATGATTAAGGCTTTAATATTAATTTTTTAATACAAATGAAGTGATTTTAATTAAATCCATTTTTATCAGTCACTTTAAAAATATGATGAGTATTTGTATAAAGATAATTAAAATTTCAAACTATAATATTAGCTTTACTTGTTGTTTTTTTTAGGTGACATTGACATAGGTGACATCAATTGCAATTGATGGAATATCTTTCAAATGCTGAGGTAATCAAAATAATTTTTAATTATTCAAGAAATTTAAGAATTAAATTATTTAGCAAAAAAATTGTTTGATAATGAGTTCAATTTAAATTAAAAAAAAAAAATTAATAATAGTTCTCGCACAATTAATATCAGTTCTCTTATCTATTAAAATTTAGAATATTTTCCAACAATTTTGTGACCTCCATGAATATGAAGGGGAAAGGTGGAAATATGCTTTAAGAGCACTAATTAATATGGTGTAGTGAAAGGTACACCTTTATAAGATATGTAAAACTTTTTTATTCTCATTTTTTATATATTCAAAAATTTCTCCTTGTGTTTTTTTTTTTTTTTCTTATTCTTTTTTATTAACAGCTTCTTCTATTAAATATGATGGAGCGACTGAAACTATAATTGATGGCATTTTGTCTAACTTCTAAAAATGCGCTTCATTTCGAAAAGGTGGCGGAAAAAAAAAAAAAATTGATTGATATAAATTTATATTTATAAAAATCGATCTAAAATTTCTTTATTGAAATATTTACATATATTTCAATAAAGAAATATTTTCTTTTTGTCTGCTAATATTTTTTTTTCAGTGTTAATTCAACATTACAAATTAAAACTCAATTATGAAAAAAGCCTAGAATTGAGTTGATGTTTTAAGTAAAATAAGAAAAGCCCAAAAAGTAACTGATGTAATATTTTTATTTTTTGATAAAAAAAAAATTCTAATAATGTTTAAAATTGGTATTAATATTAATGTTTATTAGATGAAGATGAGTAAAAAATAAGTAATGTTTATTAGATGAAGATAAGTAAAAAAATAAGTTTTTTTTTGGTCTTGAAAATTGTTTGAATGATAATTTATTATTTATCAAAGTATTTTCTTTTTTAATTTTTGTTGTTTTTATATTTTAATTAAAAGTAGATATTATTGTGTCATATATTATAATATACCTTATATTATACTATTATATTTTATATTAATAATGAGTATTTTTGTTTTTTTGTATTTCTATTTTTTTTTCAATATTCCATAATTATCTTATGTAGATGTTTATATTTTATAACCTAGTCTTCTTTCATTATTTGTCTTTGTTATTGAGCCTTAAGTTATTTGAACATAATATATTCAGAACTCTGCTGAATAATAGAGTAATAAATAAATTAATAAAAATGAGTTTAAAATATAATAAATTTATAAAATAAAGAAAATCTTATCTTTGCTTATAATGTCTACTAATATTATTGTTTAGCAAGTATCATGGTTATAAAATGTTCAAATTTAGCTAGTTTAATTAGGCCTGTTAGTACACTTATTATGGTTTCTTCATTTTATATTAGTTCATGTAATTTTTTCAAAATCGAATATGCGGAAAGGAGCTGTTTGGAATGAAGATTTACAAGAAGAAGTAATTCCATCTGATTGGATTAGTGATAAAACTGTTTGTCGGCTTCCAGGTACCAAAGCATTGACTGCACTAAAATGCAGAGAAGAATTGGCTTAAGTTTATACAAATAAAAACTAATTTCTCTTCAGGTATTACATCTATATATTACAATTATTATTTTTTAAATAATGTGGTAAGAAGAGTTATTTTGTTGATACAAAATATATAACTAATTGTATAACTATTTCAATTCTAAAAGAAAGCAAACAGTATTGTGAAAATTTTAAATTCACAACTACAAAAGAAAAATGTGATAATGAGAATGTTGACAAGTGGGTGCAAGATTTGCACACAAGTGGAAACTTGGATGCAAGTTTTCCACTTGTGTGGTTTGGATGGTTCTCCACAATATAATATATCTCCACAAGCATAATATTAGATTTACTTCATGTTTTTTTACAGATAAATCAATTACAGTTAATTGGTGGAGTTACCTCATTTATAATCAGGGTGTCTGCAGCTCCTCTAAAATCCTTTAAAGTCCTCTTTTTTTAAAACCACTTCTAAAATCCTCTATTATCCTCTAAAGAGGTAAAAATTTGATCAAAGCTCCTCATTAATTCTTCCTTTTTTAATTTTTGATGGATGTATAATGTTCAAAATACCCATTCTCGGTTTGCAAAACTGGTTAACGCCTTAAAGTGCATGGAATTGTAAAAAATTGCTTTAGAAAATGCATGCTGTTTAACAAATAATGTCATAACAAATGACATTATTTGATCCCTGTCCATGCCCCATAAGTGTATAAACATGGACGTTAAACCATTAATCAATGGCCACATAAAATTTCTTATAAAAATTTTATGTGGCCACCCAGAAAATTATTTTTCAATGCTAGAAATGTTTTATATTTTGATTATTAATTTATTTTTAATATATTAAAAAGGTTGTTTTATTTAAATTAAATATTTGAAAAAGTTATTAATAACCAACTAACAGTTATATTAATTTTTAAAAATTCAGAGTATTTTCTAAAAGTTATATGGCCGCGATGGATATGAAGGGCAAAGGTGGAAAAATATGTTTTAAGAACACTAATCTATATGGCGTTGAAAAAGATATACCTTTATAAGTTGTAAAACTTTTCCATTGAATATTTATTTTTTAAATCTTCCCTTTTTTTTTTTTTTTAACATATTTTTTTATTTACAGCTTCTTATATTGTATTCAATGGACCAAAAGACCCTCGGTTAATGGAATATTGTTTGACTTTCTAAATTACGCTTTATTTCAAAATGTGGTGGAAAAGAAAAGAAATTTGTGTAGATTTTATTCAATTACATGTAAATATATGTAATATTTGAATATGTATTCTTAAATAAAACAAGTTTTATCTCTTTCTTTAATCATATCTAGCTATTTTAACTAAACTAAACTGAAAAAGTTCTAAATAGTCTAAGTATAGACTATGAATAGATTTAATATCCATAATATACCTTGATAATCTACAGTAACACTAATGTACATGCATAGTACGTTTTGATGGTGATCATATTTTGACGCACATAGCACGTTTACATACATATATACATTTTGACATACATAGCACGTTTTGATGGTGAATAAGTGTTTTACAGTCATTTAACGTTGATAAATCAACGTTAAAAAAACTATGATTTTAAACGTTGTATCAACGTAAATTCAACGTTGTTGTAACGTTTTTTTGCATCGAATCAACGTTGATATAACGTTTGAATCTAACGTTGATTTAACGTTGATAAATCAACGTTGAAAAAAACTTTCATTCTAAACGTTAAATCAACGTAAATTCAACGTTATTGTAACGTTTTTTCGCGTCGAATCAACGTTGATATAACGTTGATTTAACGTTGATAAATTAACGTTGAAAAAAACTTCCATTCTAAACGTTAAACCAACGTTAAATCAACGTTAGGTTTCAACGATATTTCAACGTTATTTGCCGGCTGGGAAGTCTCTTCATAGTTGATGTTTGAATTTTATTTCAATGTAACTTTAGTTTTAACCAAAATTTGATGGATTGAATTTTTTAGATTTTAATTAGACTCCACAATACGACATGTCTCAAATTTCAGAATCTTGAAATTGACAATTAAAAAAATACGCTTCAAGTGATTTGGTATTGATTTATATTGCTACAACTAGCCTAATATTGCTTTTGAATTAGCTATGACTTTAAATGTAAAAGGAAAAAAAACTAGAAAATGTGGAAAGCAAATCAATCATAATAATCACTCATCATCTATTTTAAGATTTCTATCACTTTACCTCTACTGGACCATCTTATTAATGAGCTTATTAATTATATAAGATTTCAAACGGAAAGCAAGTTGGTTTATATGGGATGTTTGCAGTTCCAACTGTCATATTAAGTTACCTGAAAACAAACTAAGATTTGCAAATCTACTTTCATGAATTTCTATCATTATATCTATCATTCTAACTCTGCATTCAACTTTATTCATGCAGAGTTGTATTATGGAAGCCTCTTTAGAAAGATCAGTCAAAACCCCCATCTGGTATTTTTTAAACAAAAGTCATGACAATGACTGATTCCCCCCCTCCCCTCCCCAACATTCTTGAATATTTTAAAGATTTAAATCTAGGTACAAAGAAATTAAAAACTTATTCAAGAAGTAGAGTGTTAAAAAAGTCATTAAATGGCCTAGCTTTAATGTCAATTTATACCAAAATTGTTCTAGATAAAGACAGGGTTAAAAAAAAATTTCAGATTCTGGAGAGAGATGTTTAAAGTTGCTATTTATGCCTTAAATAATTGGCTATGATTATATAATAATTATATTTATATGTGAATAAAATAATTGAATATCTCTTATATTTACAATAATTTTTTTGTTTTTTGCATTGTTTAATTTTCTCTTAGACCATCTTATTTTTTATTTGTTATAAATGTTTAATAAATAAATTTATTTTCTATTTTGTTAAAATATAAAATAAATTTATTAATTTTCTATTTTAACAAAATTTTATAATCTAAAATTTTAAATGTTTTAAAAATTGTTTTAAACTAAATAATGTAAACCACTAAATAAAAAATTTAAATGTGTGTTAATTTCGTTAGAGTATGGTACAAAAAGAGTGCTGGATAATCATAAAAAACAAAGATATAATAAATTAGCTTCCTGAGGATTCTATAGATAGTGAGACTGTTCAAATCTTTGTTTTTAATATATATTTATATATAGTAGTATACAACTTTAAAATAAATATCTTTTGAATAAATTACGATATCATTTTGTTAATGCAGTTATAGTTTCATTTATTCTATTAGTAACAAAAATATAAAGGAAAGAATCCAAAATTGGAGAGTTAGCATTAGGCAGCATTACAACTTTCATATGGAGTGCAATGTCCTATGGCTTACCTTCTAGTTGGTGCACTTCGTTAAGTAAATTAGACATGTCTAAATTACGAACAGAATAGCCAAGGCAAATTTTATATTTTACCATTAATTATTTTACTAGAATCCATTAAAAATAAATGAAAAAAATATGTGTGCAAAAACTGAATTAAAAACGCTCAGATAAAAAAAACTGTCTGGCGGCGTCTACATGACGTAATTGTCAGACGTCTTTTTGACCTAGACTAACCGACTTATTAAATAGTTGCAATTATGACGTAATTTTACAAATTTTAGCTACACCTATATAAAATCCTAGATCCGCCCCTGTATATATATATATATATATATATATATATATATATATATATATATATATATATATATATATATATATATATATATATATATATATATATATATATATATATATATGATATATATATATATATATATATATATATATATATATATATATATATATATATATATATATATATACGGATATCAACATAAAATTATCATTATTACCTTGTTATATTAAAGTCAATTTATTTTCCTAAACTGTTGGTCAATAATTAATAAAGCAAATTTCAAATCATGAAAGTTTCCTAAGTTTAAAACATATTTTAACATTAGGAAACCAAAAATAAAACAGTGGAAGTATTTGTATATTAATAAAGGTACAATTAAAAAAATGAAAATAGTTATAATAATTAAAATTAATTATAATAATTAAAAGTAATTATATAAAAGATAAAACATTTTGTAAAATTGATTTTATTTAAACAAAGTAAAGCAAAATTTGTTAAAAAGTCACACATTTTGACACAGATTCAATAGCAAATTGCTAACAATTATAGTCCCAGAAAAATATCACTTTTGTTTAATTTCTGTCGAAGACAGAAATTAAACAAAGTTTAATCTTTGAATAAGTTTGCGGTAATATTTTTGAACATACGTTTTGAACTAATGGTTAAAAATCTAGCAGCAATTTTTATTATCAATTGAACAACATGTAAGTCTTCGTTACAATGATCATAGTCAAAGTGATCATCCAGCGTTGGAAAAGTATTAACATAAGGCGAAAGTTTACGTAAAACCACACTCAAAATAATAACATTAATGTTCTGCTTAGCAGTCATTGCAGTTGAATTTGAGCCACATACACTAACTTTTAAAGCTTTCTCACAAGTTTCAACAACCTCGACAACACCTGAGGATGGAAAAATTAACCCTTCTTTATTTTTATGCACAATAAAACTGTGTATGTGTCCTATTGTTAATGTATTACCATAGCTAAGATGGTCATTGACTGAAGACATAATTTCAGTTGTTGTTTATGCTTGGGCACAAATTGTGCACTCAATACTGTGTAACAAATCGCGAACAATAGACCCTGCAATGTAGCATAATACAGCCTGTTGAAACATGCTTATGTTTTCGTCGTCTAGTTTAAAAAACAGTGATTGAAGAAATGGCTGCTCATTGGACTCGATAGCTTGTACATCTTGTAGTGGTGTTCTTCGACGTGACCATTTCAGATTGAAAAGTTGGAGGTCAGATGTACAATCTAAAATTGAACAGTTTGCATTTCTGCTCAGAGCAATACTATTGTGTATCAGTAACTGTCTCATTGAAGATTTAAATTGCACAACATTTGGATTATTATTAAATCCGTTTTTTCCACGTATGCAAGCAAAAGTTAGCTCAAGATGGTCCTGTGATAACTTATAAGTTAATAAATACTTTAATGGTTCAAAGTTAACCGTTCCTTTGAACAATTTAATGGTTCAAAGGAACGGTAAAATAGATCAAGAGCTAAGCTCTGTATACTTAACACATTTGTGACAAGTCCAATAACACATGTTTTACGACGATGTGAAGCCAATAAAGGTCCATTTTTGCTGTTATTTGTACGTAAAGACAGCAGATATGCAATGCTGCTACTAAATGCTTGCATCCAGTATCTACTATTGCTAAGTTTATAGGGTTACTTAAAATTTTTTGCAAATGCATTTTATACGTCATTGACTTGAACTATTTAAAATAATAAAAAAACATGTTAGCCTAAACTTTGCTTATTCATTTTTCTAATAAGTTTTTCTCTAAAATAACGCGCAAAACCTGATTTGATAAATTAAGCGACAATTTAATCAAGTAAATTAAGGAACAAAAAGTTAATAGACGACTTTTCTAATAATAAAGTATAACAAAATCACGAGTACAGTACTTAAGACCATCCAAGTTAATTTTAAATGTTTACATTAATTTTTAGTACCTCAGGAGCGCCTTAATTGCCTGAATTTATTTTAAAAGTTGTTATTTATTATAATTAAAGGAAATTCAGTAATAAAAGAAGTTTGTTAGGACGTCTTTTATATTACAGCTTAACAAAAATTACATGGGTTTTAAAACGTTTATAAGATATATATAGAAAAATAAATGTGAAAATAACCGAACAGATGTAAAAATAGTCCAGTATAAATATAATCGAATTGTTTAAAAGCATTTTCGGTGAACAATTGATGGACCAGATTCATCATACTCTTGTTTGGAGATCCACATTTGTTGGAAAGTAGAAAGGGAAGCCAAAATAGATCCTCCGATCCAGACTGAATATTTTCTCTCTGGTGGAGCAATAATTTTGATTTTCATTGTTGGTGGTGCAAGAGCAGAGATTTCTTTCTGCATACGATCAGCAATACCAGGGAACATTGTCGTACCACCTGATAGAACAGTGTTAGCATAAAGATCTTTACGGATATCAACATCACATTTCATGATTGAGTTGTAAGTGGTTTCATGGATACCAGCTGATTCCATACCAATAAATGATGGTTGGAAAAGTGTTTCTGGGCATCGGAAACGCTCATTTCCAATTGTAATAACTTGTCCATCAGGTAATTCATAAGATTTCTCGAGGGAAGAGCTTGAAGCAGCAGTTTGCATTTCTTGTTCAAAGTCTAAGGCTACATAACTAAGTTTCTCTTTAATATCTCTTACAATTTCACGCTCAGCTGTAGTAGTGAATGAATAACCACGTTCTGTAAGAATTTTCATTAAGTAATCAGTTAAATCTCGTCCTGCTAAATCCAATCTAATAATGGCATGGGGAAGAGCATATCCTTCATAGATTGGTACTGTGTGAGAGACACCATCTCCTGAATCAAGTACAATACCAGTGGTACGACCAGAAGCATACAAGGATAAGACAGCCTGAATAGCAACATACATTGCAGGAGAGTTAAATGTCTCAAACATGATTTGGGTCATTTTTTCACGATTTGCTTTGGGATTCAGGGGAGCTTCAGTAAGAAGGACAGGGTGTTCTTCTGGAGCAACACGGAGCTCATTGTAAAAAGTGTGATGCCAAATCTAAATGATAAATGAAAAATTATTATAATTTATAAATAAAATTGATAAGTAAAATATGTATACAATTTATGATCTGGTTTATATTTTTGATTATTTTATTAACAAAGTATAAAATTAATAATAAAAAAATTTAAAGTTTGCAAAATGTTATTATAGATATTAAAATATTAGTCTTTATGGAGCTACTTTAAACTTAATTAATCATAGTTAATTTACATTATTTATTGGTAATACTAATTTGTTATTTGCTACTTATTTAGATATTTCACAAAAATGATTTTGATTTTACACTAATTTTGCTGATAAAGTTCGCCATAATTTGGCCAATGATTGCTACTTTATAATTTAATTAAAATAAATTGAAGTTGTTAAGGACTCGAAATTAATGACTAAGTAATTTTGAATTAAATTATACTGATATACTAGCTAAATTTCGATTTAAATAAAGCTAAGTTTTAATTTAATAATAATAAGTCTTACTTTTTCCATATCATCCCAGTTAGTTACAATTCCGTGTTCAATTGGGTATTTCAAAGTTAAGATACCACGTTTGCTCTGAGCTTCGTCACCGACATAGGAATCCTTCTGTCCCATACCAACCATGACTCCTTGATGACGAGGACGTCCAACAATAGATGGGAAAACAGCTCTTGGAGCATCATCACCAGCAAATCCAGCTTTACACATACCAGATCCATTATCAACAACGAGGGCGGCAACTTCATCATCGGCCATTTTGATTAAGTGTTTTGTTTAAAAAGAGAAGAGCTGAGTATCAAGCAAAGCTGAAGCTTCTGAATAACGAACGCTGAACTAATTGCGCTTTTTATGGTGAATCGCTTGAGCGCTTTTTTGACCATATAAGAAAAAAAACGGCTAAGCAAAAAAGTTATTGTTCGAAAAGGTCTTTATATGGACAAAAATTTGCACGCGTTATTTTATTAAGAAAAAATAAAACGGATATGTAAGTTTTATCTATTATTTATAAATTTAATAAAAATAATTATAAAATTAAATTTTTTTTTATAATATTACTTTTATTATACTTAATATATATTTTAAATGTGTTTAAAAATTTATAAATTTTAATATATATATTTATAATTATTTTAAAAGATTTTTTTAACCCCCGGTATTAAATTTTTTTTACTTCAATTATTAATCTTTAAAAACGTTCCTGTTTTTTTGACGGTGTTTACGTACAGTGAAACCACTGGTAGGATTTTAACTTTAAATGAAATATGTTCTCATTCATCAATAGAAACCAACTTATGTTTGCTTTTTTAAACGCGTAACAAAATAGGAGTGGTTTTAAGTACATCACAAACCTTGAGATAACGTTTTTGAGAAGTAATTACTATATCAGTTGTTTAAAAGAAAATAGTGCGGTGTTGAAGTTACATTTGATATTTCGAAATTAAATTTTTTTTTATAGAATTTCAGAAGTTTTTACTTTATTTTAAGAGATATATTGGTTTATTGATTTGAATAAGCAAAGTTTGGGTATTTATTGCTTGATTAAAAAGTGCGGGGACTAACTTAGTAGACTCAAATATTACTCTAGCGTTACAATGGTTTTAAAATTCGAGTAAACTTATAGAACAGCAACTTTAACTTTATATTTCAGTTTTATTTTAAATAAAATTATTGGTACTTCAATAAATTTTGCAGTTGCAAACCGATCACTTTTACTCTACCGAGACTTCTTTTTTTCTTTTTCATTCAGAATCCTGCATCTCGGCTTAAAATGCATCTAAATATGATATTTTTTGTTTAAAATGTTTCAATAAAATTTCTCAAAATCCTTTCGATACCGTGATGTTAAAATAACGATTGTCTTGCTAATTGCAAGATGTTATAATAATGTAGTAAACAACTTAAGTATCTTGAATAACGGTTTCCTGTAAAAATGATACAGTCGGTTTTGAGTTTTTGCAATTTAGTAAGTTTTCAAGTTTATATTATATATTTAGTTTAACATTCGCTATACATTTTTAATATATTTAATCTATAGATCGTATAACATTTACTCGAGTAATACTCGTTTTAGATTTTTTATAATATTCTAACTTTCTCAATGCAAATCTTTTAAATTTTTTTGCACTGGTTAGGTTAGTCAGAATAAATGAAAAATATAATATTTATGTTTCAAATTCTTACTTAAGCTTTAAAACTAATTTAAATTTAGCAACGAAATGAAATAATAATACTAAAAAATAGTTACTCATAAAAATAAAAAAATTGTTAGTAAATTAGTTAAACATGATTAGAAATTGGTGAAATAAAAAATAGAAAGTGAGACTAAGCTTTTTTTTTTTTATGTGGATTGACGAGGTGTTTACTAGATGGGATGGCAAAGTGTTTACTAGACGAGTGGGACGCTTAGCTGATTGTATTAGGTCAGTGTCTAGCTTTGGCTTGAAGACTAGGTGAATATGTGCGAACTATCTAAATGATAATGTCACTTATATAGTTCGCACATATTCAAGCGTCAATCGCCGAACCGCTTCTAATTCCATCGTAATACTACCTCTAACTTTCTTATTTTTAATTAAAAGATGTTTTAATCCAAAATTTGTTTGTTAGAAAAATGAAAATGTGAGAGGTAGTTTTGAGATTGAATTAGAATCGGTTCGGCAATAGACGCTTGAAACAATTAGAGGGAATTACTCTTATCTTTTTAATCACTTGAAAATTATCAAACAAAAAATAGACAAGAGACTAAATTTCATGAGGTGAAATAAAATTTCTAATCTTAACATTGTCAATATGATTAAATAATCATATTTCAAGATAAATAAATGTTACATTTATTTATTTTAAAATAAGATTGCAACGGATGTTTGACAAATTGCTACATAAAATATATAAGCTAATCAGCTTATGAGAGAGACTCGTAAAAGTGTACATTAACAAATGCATCATGTAAGAAAAACAAATCTTTAGCGTTTTCAGGTTTTTAGGTTATTTCAGATCATTTGCAACCGTGGTACTACACCTATAAAAATATAAGTATAATAATAAGTATACTATAAGTATAATAAACCTGGTATAATAAGACCTGATGAGCCTATGCAGATGTTTGATCTAGGTCGTATACGTTTCGCTAAAATTTGCAAGACTTTGTACAAGAAAAGTTGCTTTTATTTTATTATAATGTACTCCATGAAGGCGTGACGGGACTTGTCACTCGGACTAGTAGAGCGTATTTTTTATTTTTTCTGTTCTCGTGCTTTTTTCAGAGTTATTAGTCCATGGCCTTGCCTTAAGTTTAAAAATTAGAACCTTGGCCTTGACCTTACAACCACATCCTTTTGAATTATGAACATTCTTGAATATTTTATAAATATTGTCATTTCATAATTTCTTCAACTATAACTACAGTTGACCTCTAGAATGAAATTTAAATAAAATTATGTGGTGCAAATTTTAAACAATATTTTATTACAAAATAAAACATCTTTAAGACCTTGTAAAAAAAAAAAACAGAATACATTTAAAACGTCCTTCTTGCTCTTCTTAACATAAAAATAACAAAGAAATAAAAGTATTATTATAATATTCTCTATAAAATATGATTATAGTCTATATAACTAATATTGTAATATAATAATGCTCACAGAAAACACGTTTGCAATACATTATTTTTCTTGGTAGTTCTGCAAGGAATGACTAAAAAATTGTTTTAAAATTAATGTCAAGCAATTTAGACTAATTTTTTCACTACATCAGATTAAACTCAGAATCTAATCTATTCAAACAACTCCACACTTCGTTTTGAAGTTTTTCAGAAGCTGACTGCATAACATTAAACTTTTTGTCTTTTAACTGTAATCTTTCAGTTATTTTACTCAGAAGTATTTTCACAGGCTCTATTGAGTCCAATATATCTTCGTGAAGATTATGCTTTTCTGCAATTATTTATTGCATGAAACCTATCTATGTTTTCAAAACCATGAAATTCTGCTATCAATATTGTTATATTTATAAGACTTGTCCGACAAACTGAGGACACAATATGATGGATATATATAGCAATAAATAACCCATCGACACATATTGTCTCCAGGTATCTTCAATCCACCTCTGTTAAGTTCTTCTGTAGAATCTCCAAATTCCTCAAAATAGAAATTTGTATCACTTTCGTCTCTATCGTTTCTGTTGATGTATCCTGCAATATAGACTAGTGCTGTTTTTAGAGATTTAGATAAGACTAAGACTATATTTGAAAGATTATGAAACACATTAAAGGTATTGTCATCATTTTGTAAAAATCCACATTTCAAACAAGAATTTTCACAACTTGTTTGAATTTCATTAAAATCTGTGTGTAAATCAAGAAGAAGTTTTGTTTTTTTAATTTTTACTTTTTGTAAAATTTGTTGAACATTGATGAAATATGTTCCAGCCAAACCTTGACGCAGCTTACTAAACATTTTTTCAATGAGAACCTTTGAAAAATTTCTTAGACATTCTAAGTCATGTGAAGTGTTTAGGAGATGCTTTGTTAACTAAACCACTCCTCTACATGCATATGCAAAAGCAAGAGCAGTATCTTTAATAAGTTGCTTTACTCTCTTCCCTTGCTTTTCAGGAACCATTTTTTTAAACGTATTTGCTAAATCAAGTAAAAATTCTAATCGCTGATCATTAGGATTATCAAAGATAGCCCTTTTAAAGTCTTTGAATCGGACATCTTCAAATTGAATTTTAACATTGAAGATTTTGAAAAAGTCTACAATTTTTGATATAAAATCAACAGTTTCACATGAATCCTGCATTTCTGGATGACTCTTTTGAACAGTTTTAGTGTTTCATCACAAAAAATCTGAAGACTTAACGCAACATTCTGCTAAAAGCTAAAGGGGCTTCTAAGATTATAACTCGAAAAAAGCGCAACTTATCAACAATTAATAAGAATAATCTTTCTAATAAACTAAAGCAAGAGTCGTGGAATCAGGTTTTTAAATGTAATAATATTGATAAAGCTTTTAATATTTTTTTACAAACATTTCTTGATATATATAATGAAACGTGCCCGTATGAATTAAAAATAACTAAAAAAACAATGCTTGAATGAATAAAACTCTAATAAAATGTTCAAAAAATAAACAAAAACTTTATAATAAATTTTTGAAAAACAGAAGTGAAGATAATAAAAAAATATACAAAAAATATAAACGGTTTTAAGAATATCTTCTCATAAAAGTTAAAAAAAACTATTATAGTGAAGAACTAACAAAAAACAAATTCAATGTAAAAAAAAACATGGGATGTAATTAATAATATAATGGGAAGAAACAAAATAACTACGGCTTAACTGCCTCAATGAATAAATATCAATAAAACTGATATTTATTGTCCTTTAAAAATCTCGAATGAGTTAAACAAATACTTTATAAACATTGGCCCGAACCTTGCTAAAAAAATTATAACCACACCCAACTCATTTCAATTATATCTTAAATCGTTAAATGGCGTAATACTTCACGATAGCGACTTTTCGCTTAAAGAATATAAAACAGTCTTTTCTTTTCTAAAAAAAAATAAATCACCTAGTTTTGATGACGTTTCTAGTAATATAGTTATTTTAAACAAAAATTACATTTCCAGACCTTTTTTTAAAAAAACCATTCAACTGAACACGCAATAATTGAAATAGTAGACCAAATTACTAAAGGATTCGAAAACAATAACTTTACTCTAGGATTATTTATTGACCTACCAAAAGCATTTGATACGGTTGATCACATCATTCTTTTAGAAAAAATTAAACACTATGGAGTAATAAATAAAATCTATGATTGGTTAAAAAGCTACCTCACTGAAAGAAT